GAACAACTACTAAGGATGATCAAAGAAGAAAGTGCAAAGGCAGGCTTAATCCTGGACATAAAAACAAAAATAATGACCACAAAGAACTTACACACATTCAAACTAGAAAATGAGGAAATGGAAATAGTAAAAGAGTTCTCATATCTGGGATCAAACATTGATAGAAATGGGGACTCCAGCCAGGAAATCAGAAGAAGATTAAGAATAGGGAGGACAGCTATGAAAGAACTAGAAAAGATCCTAAAATGCAAAGACATATGATTTAGCACAAAAGTCAGAATCATATAAGCCATTGTATTCCCTATTACCATGTATGCATGTGAAAGCTGGACAGTCAAGAAAGAAGATGGGAGGAAAATCAACGCATTTGAAATGTGGTGCTGGAGAAGAGTGCTAAGGATTCTATGGACAGCCAAAAGGACAAACAAATGGGTCCTAGAGCAGATTAAGCCAGAAATATCCCTAGAAGCCAAGATGTCAAGACTTAGACTGTCATACTTTGGACACATCATGAGAAGGCATGAATAATTGGAAAAGACAATAATGTTAAGAAAGGTGGAGGGAAGTAGAAAAAGAGGAAGGCCACATGCTAGACCAGGGGTAGGCAACCTTTCCCCTTTAAGGGCCGAAGGACTTCAGCTCCCAGAATCTCAGGAACTATTGGCCAACATGGGACTATTGGCCAACATGGCTGAGGCTTCTGGGAACTGAAGTCCCTTGGCCCTTAAAGGGGAAAGGTTTCCTATCCCTGTGCTAGATGGATGGACTTTGTTAAAGAGACCACAGATATTAAAGAGTTGGACAGAGCAGTACAGGGGAGCCTGGAGATATCTATAGGGTCGCCATGGATCAAGATTGATGCAAAGGCAATTAACAACAAATGTATGAGCCATTCAGTCATCATCTAAAGTTCACATCAGAAATTCAGATATATTCCTCTGAATACTTTCAGAATATGTGGCATGTTACAAACTACAATTTAAAATTATTCCAGCTGCTGTATTGTAAAGTTCATACCTCCTATCCTTAATAAGAGAAATCCCCTCCCCCTATTTATGATTAAACTGTGTTCAGGTCTTATAAATAGACACTCTAGGATTAAACACACAGGCACTCACAGGAATTAAAGCAACCGTATGCCAGTTTGCTTAATCCTGCTACATTGCATAATCAGTGCATAGAGAGGTTGCCAAAAAAACATTACTGGAGAACTTGGAAAAAAATGCAGTGCTCTTAACAGCACATTGGCAGATGCTATTTGTCTTTCTCTTTGCTTCCTTCACCATGTGCTGATATGAACTTTTCATTCCCAAAGTTTCTGTTTCAAGTCCAGCACAGATTGAGAGTGTGAAAATGGAATAAGCTGTATTTTCCCAAAATGGGATGTGTACTGCTAAAGAATTTGCACTAAGAATGGATGAGAACAAATTACCAAAAATTTCAGGGAATAAGTGCATTGGAGTGGCCTTCCAGATGATTTCAGACTACATTATTCCTCGCCATTACAGCTGTGCTTGCTATGGCTAAGACGTTTGCACTCCAAGAAGAGTTTGTTGGTGGTGGTAGTGGTGTGTGCCTTGAAGTCGTTTCCAATTTATGGTGACCCTGGCCTAAGGCATTTGTCTATCATCAGGTTTTCTTGGCAAGTTTCTTCAGAGGGGGTTTCCCATTGTCATCCTTTGAGGCTCAGAGAGTGTGATTTGCCCAAGGTCACCCAGTGGGTTCCATGGCCGAGCTGGGATTTGAACCCTGGTCTCTTAGTGTCCTAGTCCAATGATCAAACCCCTACACCACACTGGCTCTCCAACAAGGGTTGTGCGCTCCTTAAGTACATGTAGGCAAATTCATGAAACAAACCCATGACAGCAGGGTTTTGTTTTTAAAGGACTTCTAGAATTTCCCAGGGGCAAAATGTGACTCAAAACAGAGATCTAGAGCACAGTTCTAAATGGCCAAGATGGCCAAAGGTCAATTGAGCCAAAGGCAGACATACTAAAGCTGTGGTGAATCCAGATCCTTTCCAAACTAGGAGATTAGCGCATTGGTTTTAAAGCGCCTTATCTGAAGCTTTCTGTTTTTGAAAAGCTGAATGATAAGCCTGGCTGGCATCCAGGCTGTATATAAATTGCATTCACCCAACCATGGGTGAATGCAACAACACCCTTTCTGAAAATTAAATGTACGGTACCTTTATCTCATCGAGGATAAGGCCGTTTAAAGCTAATGTGCTAATCTCCCTAGCCTTTTTAGAAATGGCCTAACTTGGGGCCTCGGCAGACGGCTTATTGAGCCGTCTCCGAGGCAAGGAAGAGGAGGGGCAGCCACACGTGCGGCGCCCCTTCCTCTTCCTGAGGTTGTCCTCGGAGCCGCCGGCCCTCTGCACGGCTGGCGCTCCGGAGACAACCTCCCGCTGCAGCGACCGCACGCGCTGCGGTGGATAAGTCAGGGAAAGTGCGCCCTACGCGTTTAGGGCGCACTTTCCCTGACTTATGAAAGGAGCGCTGATTTAGCACTCCTTTCAGAGGCGCCGACGGCGCACTGCGGTGCGGCTGCGTTGCTTCGGCGGCGCACCGTCCCGCGGCGTCCTCAGCGCCGCCGTCTGCTTCCCCCCTGGGTTCTTCTCTGACTCTGCTGCTTTCCAGTCCCTTTTTTGCCTGTTCTGTTAGCATATCTTAGCCAGCAGAGAAGTTCTGCCAGCAGAAGGACAGTTTTGTTGGTAGAAGAGTTTTAGGCCTAATCTCAAAAATACAAACACACACTATGTTCAGATTTTGGAATTAGGATAGCTCTGTCTGAAAGTTAAACCAACAGACAGGAGAAGGGCTGATCAGCCTTATCCCTGCTGCAACTATTTGCTCCCTCCAAGGAAAATGCCCAGCAAAAGTTAAGAAACAGCATGACAATAATTCAGTTATTTAAAAGAAATAATTAAATAACTGTAACTGTGTTTGCATCTACTGAACATGGGCAAATAAAATTAAGCAAAGTCTTGGAACAAATTTCTGAAAGTACATTGGCCAAGGTTTATTACTGAGTTGTTTTTTTTGTATGTGTCCATGAAATGTTAACTAAATTATTGACACCAAGTCATTCGTGAGAGACTCTTAACTCACACTAGACACAGCAAGATTAAACATGAGTCAACAGTGTGATACAGCAGCTAAAAAGGCCAATGGATTCTAGGCTGCAACAATAAAAGTATAGTGTCTAGATCAGGGGTAGGCAACCTGTCCCCTTTAAGGGCCAAGGGACTTCAGCTCCCAGAATCCCAGAAGCTATTGGCCAACATGGGACTATTGGCCAACATGGCTGAGGCTTCTGGGAGCTGAAGTTCTTCAGCCCTTAAAGGGGAAAGGTTGCCTACCCCTGGTCTAGATCAACGGAAGGAGAGCATGTCCAAAGGAGGGTGACCAAAATGGTGAAGGGTCTGGAAACTATGCCTTATGAGGAAAGATTTAGGGAACTGGGGATGTTTAGCCTGGAGAAGAGATGGTTAAGAGGTGATATGATAGCCCTGTTTAAGTATTGGAAGGGATGTTATATGAGGATGGAGCAAGCTTGTTTTCCGCTGCTCCAGAGACTAGGACCCAGAGCAATGGATGTAAACTATAGAAAAAGAAATTCCAGCTCAACATTAGGAAGAACGTCCTAGCAGTAGGAGCTGTTCAACAGTGGAACACACTCTTTTAACTTATTTGGTGAATTTATTTTCAGATGTAGAGATTTGGATTAGGAGCCCTGATGGTGTATTGGTTAAATGCTGGTACTGCAGCCACAATTTTGTAAGTTCAATCCTGGAGGAGGGTTCCAAGGTCCACTCAGCCTTCCATACTTTATTAGGTTGGTAAAATGAGTACCCACCTTGTTGGGGGCAATTGGCTTACACATTGTAAACTGCTTAGGGAATTAGTTCACTGATAAGCGGTATAGAAATGTATTTTCCATTGCTATTGCTATTGCTATTGGATGAATCCATGCTAAACTGGAAGCAAATCTGAATCGTTAAGGTGAGCCCTGTGACTCATTACATTCTTCCTCTTTAAGGCAAGGACAAATGGTCACCACAGGTTTCTCCTACCTGTGAGCAAAA